CAATCTGGATCACTTAAAACTTTTTTATTAATCACTGATAAATGTCGTTCCAATTATATAGTAATTATGTAAAATTGATATTATATCTTAGAATTTCAAATAAAAAAAATGACTAAATATGTTTCTATTAATTTCTTTATTTTAATACTCAAATAATTATTTTGATGATAAAATCTAATTTTGTTAATAGTCATTATGTTCTATCACTATGTATACTAATAATTCTGAACTTTTTTGTTACATAATCCAAAACATTTGTCATATAATTGTATGGAGATTCAAATTTTTATAACAATATAATTTTTAAGAACATCTTATTGTTCATTATATGAATCAGCGGTTTTCAATCTTTTAAAAAAAATGTCATATCATCAAAATTAAAAAAATTATTATGCACTAAAAAATAAGTATTTAATTAAAAAAAAGTTAATACAATCATTGATCTCTGAAAGAGGATTTTGTGATATTTGTAATATATAATTATAGTTTGAAATTAAGGCCATGCATTTAAATTCAAAATAAATTTTTGAAAATTGAAAAAATTTAAAAAAATATTTATATATTACATTACACAATTTATACATATATATACATATATATATATATATATATTTGAATCTAATTCGATATATTATTTAAAACAGAAACGACTCAACATTTTTCGTTTCATAGATTGAGAAATTCTGCTGCATATATTATAATCCTGAACGACATTTCATTCTTATCTTTATTTCTTCCCAATGAATAATTTATAATCCTTTGCATTCCAATTGTACTCCTTTTTCAACAGCCATCCGGACTGAACATGTTAATATTTCGAGTTTAATGATTTGAATTGATGCCAATATCTAAAAAATTCTATTAATCCAACAATGATTTCAACTTGATTTCCTTTGTACAATCTAGAATATCTTCACATTGAAGTGAATATCAAAACAAGATTTCCCCTTTTGAATTCTACATCACTGATCTCAAATATCATTTCCTATTGTCACATCTAACTAAGTTTCCTCAATCCTTTCACCCTGTATACCCTGTAAAACATCACTAACACTGATTCAAACTCGAATGCGTGTTTGTATATATATCGTGTTCTATATGAGTATGTGTATACGTATGCATGTCACGATTCGAGGATTTTTCGTCGATGAGACGCGGAGAATCTTTTGAGGGAGCGACGTATCGAACGAAAAATTCGAGGAGCCATAGAATTTGCCATGAGCGAGCTCAGAAGAATTCGAAGCGTTTCACGTTCGATGCGCTCGCCATTTTTGTGGCGAATCGCGCGGTGAATCTCGCACGCTTCGAGGAAACTATAGAGGCACACGTGGAGGAGGTTCGATTCTTGGCAGACCGTAAAGCAAATACACCGTTCATCTGTGAATCGACTGATGATTGACAAGGTAGAAAGGAGGGGCAGAAGCAGTTGCGTTCACGATCTTTTAGAATCGACCATTGATTGCTTTTTTTCTTCCTCTTTTTTTTTCGTGTTTCGTGTTCTATTCGACTCTGAGATTATCTGCACATCCCCCTTCGGCCGCCGCATTCGGCAGTTCCATTTTTGCTTATCGTAATTCGTAATCCTAATATGCTATATTAACGGTTTTTTTTCTTTTATTAAACGCTTGGTCATCGCGCATCTCCGCTACACGCGATGGAGAAGATGATTCCTTTAAGGAACGGTCGATTTTCGTTTAGTACCTAGATAAATCGGCTTTTATTTCGCTTGGCCAATATGCAGTTTGCTTCGCGATACACGGTGAGATATCTTTTTGAAAACATTTGAAATTTTCTTTTTTTTAAAGATGAATATTGAATCGTGATGAAAAATTTTACGATTATTTCTTTTAAAGATATTGTTTATATTTTGTTAATAATTAATCACCAGCAGAATTTGATTAAACTCTGATTGCAAAATTTTTTAGGAGAAATTTAGATTTAAGATGTTCTGGAACCATCAATAATATGTAAGTAATATAGTATTTTCAAACGGTCACCCATCCAAATATTAATCGCGACCAATGTTTGACTTTGGTAATCGAAACCAATGGAAATCAATAGATTACTATAGCAGAGATTGTTTGTATACATTGTTGTTATTAACGAGTATCGACTGCTGCTGGTCATTAGTCGCGTTACATAATTCGGTCTATAATGTAAGGTGTTTCGAGTTTAATAGATTTATTGAAATTAGTGTTTGAAATAGTTTCGTTGAAATAAAACAATATGTGATAGATACATTTATGGAAAATATTTATTTGAAATAATATTTCTAGATTATATATTTAGATTTTGATTTAAAATATTATATTTGCGATTATTATTTAACAAAGAAAAAGATATATGTTATTTCAATTAATAGACAAAATTTTTAATAGATTTTTAATAGATATTAATCAATCAATTATTTTGGCAAAGAATTTTAAAATACGATCAAAATAGAATTTCACTAAAATAAAGAAAATATTTATTTCAATTAATAATTTCAAACTCGCGTTGAATAAATATATAATTCAAATACTACATATTTATAAATCAAACAAGGATCCAAAATTATATTTTATTTAAATATAATTAAATGTAAATTTAATTAAATTTTATTCTTTATTTCAAAAATTATTTATTCAAAACTATTTTCGAACACCAAACAGTAATATACCATTATTTTATATTTCCCAAACGTGATCAATAATGCACTTTAGCGATGAAATGATAACCAATGGATCCTATATACCAAAACTTATCGACTCTTAATAACGTTTTCAGGTTAATGAAAAGTTAGCTTAATTACCTGATTCCTATTCAACGAGTATCGCGAAGCGACCCGATCGAACTCTTAAAACTCAGTTACACGACGATTACGCACATTCGATAACGAATACAAAGTGAGGAGACGTAGCGGCTGGTTGGTCGCATGTCTTAGAGGCTCGTCTTAGACATCCTTAAAAAATATCTACTCTTGCTTGTCCAAGTATTTCGATCAATCCTCATCTCCACATATTTATATCTATATATTCGTATATGTATATATATTTATATATAATATATCATTCCCTGTTTAGGGGATATTCATGTACTGTGCAGACATGACAAGTTGACTAGGCAAGGAAACGCGGATCTGACATTCCGATAGATCCGGGCACGTTCATAAAAATAGGCACGAATATTGGCCGAAAGTGTCACCTAGCCAATTCGTCATTTTTACAGTATACGTTTGTGTTTGTATATGTCTGTGTAAATTGATGTACGAATTTATACATATATATCATGTACGGTTCATAACGGTTCTGTACATCGGGCTAGGCAACGCCCACGATGGCTCTCTCTCTTTCTCTCTCTCTCTCTCTCTCTTTCTTTCTCTCTTTAATTTCAGCCATCTCATAAACTCACCAGTCTTAAACACCGAGTTAACATTATTATCACTACGGCAGAATTGCTTAACTTTCCGTGACAAAGAGTTCTCGCGAAACCGGCGAGCAATAAACTTCGATAACGGTATTAATAGATCGATTAGTGTAAAAAAAAGGAAGGATGACCGGGGGGAAGAAGTGTGGAAGGTGTGGTTGGGTGATCCGGATGAAAGTATGAACTTGAGCAGATATCGAACGAGTTTTCTACAAACTCGTAACACGGGTAAACGTATTCTCGTTTCCTTTCCTCGTTTTTCTTTGTTCTCGTCTTACCGCTTTCAGTCGAAACGAGTCCGTATTCTACGCATTTGCATCTTACTTTTTAGATGAAAGACGTGCAATTTCACCAACGTAAAGAATTTATCTTTGTTAGCAAAAGAATATTCTTAAGGTTTTAAGAGTGGTACTCCATTTTGTACCCGTTTCACTTCTTCTTCCACTTTTTTTTTCATTTCTTTCATCAAATTCTTTTCGTTTACACAACACTTAGACGCGCACTTGCCTCTTACGTATATACATTCTTTCACTCAACTATTTCACTCAACTATTTCACTCAACTATTTCATTCACGCACGATCAAACGTGTGATTTTCGCATAGTCGATTTCACTGTTACCGACCGAGCAAATTATCTTTTCACCCCAGGAATGTTTCCAATTTGCACTAGGATCCAAGTCATAGACAGATCGTAATAACACGAGCGCAAACGGCCACGTGGACAGATTTGATTCGATCGAACCGCAACTCCAATCCGATTTTCAAAATTCCACCCACGTGGCGGTTTGTTTGCGTTCCTATAAGCTCTTCGAAAATTCGATTCCTCTCCACGTATCCCGGAAAATTCCATTACAAGGCGAGGTTTCGCGACACACCATTTCGAAAGTATATCCAAAAATTCCCTTATTCGCGAAAGGATCCACATCGATTATTTTCTCACTCCACAAAAATGGGTGGCTTCTTTTTCCATTTCTGGATCTCTCGTGGCTAATCGAATTCGTACAATCTCGAGAGAAAGTTTCTCGGCTTGAATTTTCGAGCACGAAACGGAAAAGGAAAATGCACATTATGACGTGAAAAATATGTTTCCAAATTCAAGCAATCCCTTATTCGTTCAACGAGGAAGAGAACTTGATCAACTGTCCTTTCCTTCGAACCACACATCTGTCCTTGACAAGAAATTATTATCCATAGAGCACGTGATCCGGAAAGCCACGCACCTGATTAATCCATTACGAGTTTTGTTCCTGCTCAACCGGCATTTGGAATCTCATATCTATTCTCTTGGATGAGAGAGGATCTTGTCGTGCTCTCCCAGACTTCTTGTTCCACCAATCATGTCCGTGTCCATGTTTTCCTCGAATTAATTCGTCCGAAACCTACATATATACCAATAATTCCCTCCTCGTTTCACGTGTGCACGAAAGATCGCTTTCTCCTTTTCTCTCTCTCTCTCTCTCGAGAACGACGATAATCCTGAAACTGAGCCATCAAACGATCCGACCAGTCATCTCCACGCTTCATTCAAACTTCCACTCACTATACTTGATCTCGTCCCAATCCTCAGCCCTTTCTTCCGACCCGTAGTTAAAACTTAGACGTCCATAGCGTCCCCGACGTAGCCCTCGTCAGGGCTTTCCGGGTGATGAGGCGGCTGAAGGTCCTCCGCCCTGGCGGCCGCGGCCGCAGCAGCCTCTCGAGCAGTTTTGCTCAACAGTGATCTAGGCGAGAGCGGCGTGGTCTCGCCCCTGTACGCGGCTGGTGGCGAAGGGATGAACGGCACCTCGGGGAACACGGCGACTGGGGACACCGGGGAAACTGGCAGCTGCTGTTGGATAGGCTGCTCGACCGGTTGAATCGGCTGCGGCTGCTGCTGCTGGGCCGGATAAGGATATCCCTCTGCTGTGTATCTGGTATCAGTTCTGGGGAGGACAGGGTCGTATCCCGGCGACCTGGCCAAGAACTCCGCCTCCCTCGAGTACCTGGCCGGTGGCGCGACAGCGGTGCCCTCTACTGGCATCCTTTGCCTCAAACGAGGCAGCGTGCTCGCCGCGCTGAACGGGATTTTGGGTAGGCCGAAGTTGAGCGGGTAACCGTCTTGATCGAGATAGCTAAGCTGGGGGATGTTGGATGGGCGCAGGTCGGGTTGCAACGGGTAGCCGGAGTCGTATTCCAGAATCTGTCTCTCGCCCGGCTGGTGTCTGTACAATTGGCCGTATCCCACGTCGGTCGTCTCCGGGACCTCGTTTATCAGATCGGGTTCGGTCAGATACTTTGACACCGGGCTGCAATAAGGCTCCTCCACGTTCCTGTGCTCCCTGCGCTCGAGAGTCGCGGCTCTGCTCATCTCCCGTTCGGTATACGAAACCATCTGTTGATGTTCGAGCCCGATCAGGCTACCGTTACCCTTCCTGCAAGGCAAACTGGTTGTCGTGTCTTTGGTAATAGGCATGATGGATTTGTTCTGCGAGACCAAGGCTTTCGAGTTTCTCTTGCGGTCGCGGCGACGTTTGCGAACGCAGAACACTATGCTGCCTATGAGGGAGGCGAGAGCGAACAGGATGCCCAAAAGGACGCCCGCAGCCACGGCGACCACGTAGCCCGACCTCAAGTGATCGTTGGGCGGTTCAATCGTTATTCTCTCCTGGAACAACACTCGCAACGATAGATTCGCCTCGGCTGAGCCCGCCCCGTTCTCGGCTATGCACGTGTACGTCCCCTCGTTCAGGGTCTCGACGGAGTAGAGAAGAAGGGCGCTGCTCATATTCGTTCCACCACGCTGCCTGTAGACGTACCTGGAACGAGATTGTGGAATTTGATCGAAAACGTGAAAACAGGGATTTATATATATATAAGAAAATGGAAGTTAATCTTTCGCCGTGATTGAATTTCATTCCAAAGACGGTTCATATAATTTGAAATCAGAATCGTGTACCAATCGTTAACAATGGTTTTCTTTACTGGAATTGAAACGGGAATTCAGGCGTTAAACTTCGAGATACGGGATTTTTATGCGCTTTTAACGGTTCGCCGCGATGGTGAATGACCTCAAAAGTTCCTCCCGGGTATCGGCAACGTACCCACTTAATTCGAGACGAGATTCATTAAATGCTCGCGCTTTTGAAAACTGTACGCAAGCTTCTGTACAGCCGTTCTTTGAGCCGCGTTCCATGTTCGACTTTAATTTCTATCTTTTAATCTTTCGTTCTCGATATTGCGCAATACTAAGTAGATATAGAACGAATCTTGCAATACGATAGCTTCAAATAACGTAAATTAGTTATTGCGAATTTCAATATGGATTCATTATTAATTTTTTTGTAAGTGGGTAAGTATATAGAAGATATACGAGTGTGAAACTTTTTAAATGGTTTTTAAATGGAATCGTATATTTTTTTTAAATATATTAATCGATATACACTATTATTTTCTATGAAAAACTACAAAGAAATTTGTATTAAAATAATTTTAATGTCACAACGATAAATGCAACAAAAGTTATAAACAGTAAATTTCAAACTTGAACATTTTAAGAATTTTTTTAAATAACATTACTCTAATTATATTTTAAAATTAATTAAGAAATAATTAAGTTTCAAAATGATATAAATATTTCAAATGAAATAATATTTAATAAGAAGTATTTCGTGGGAAAAGTAAATAAATATGTTCTCAATTAAATAATTTTTTAATGTTTTAATTTTTTAATAATGTTTCATGAAATAAATTACTTGATTTTGATGAAAATAACTAATTTCTTAATATATATTATTTATTTTCTTATCTCGTTCTTATCTTTCTTTTTAATTGTCCAATTAAAATACATTTTACTTGTCAAACAATACAAAGCGTTATTTCAAATAATCATTTCTAAATTATTATTTAAATTAAATTTCGCTCTCTGATGAAATCTATCTTCCCTTACTATTATCCTATATGAATTTGTAAATCACATACATTGAAATGTTTCATTTTTCTTTTCTATATCAAAACATTATGCATCACGTGCAAATCGGATTATTAACGAAGTAGAAATTTCTTTAATAGTTACGTGAACTAGACACTTCGTGTGATGCGTCATCGGACAATTATAATCTTTGAAACGCTGAAAAATTCATACGAACAAACCTTTGAAATTTCACTGAGATGTCGGTAAAAATTCTCGCTTGCGCCACCAGCGGTGGCGTCGTTAATTAGAATACTTTCGTGATTAACGACCGTGACGGGCGTCTTTCGGAAGAGCTCAGATGAAATTTGACGCGAAAACGAACGAACGACTGCAGCAAAGTTTGTTCGGAATGCAATTTTCGCCAACGATCTCGATAATAAGACTGCCGACTGATTTCCTTTCAAATTTTGTCGATGTGTTATTTTCTCACGAATTTTAATAGGATTTCTTTCGAACATTTTTTTATGATGTATTATATAGCGATTCACAATGGAAAGTATTCGAGATAAATATGTGACTTGATATGTTAGATTTAAATATTCTGAAAAAATCGTTTGTAATTAATACACGATACAATGAATATTAAGATTTTATATGTGAATTTTTAGCAAGGTATCAATTTAACAAAGTGAAATAGATCATTATATAGTTTTAATATTCTTTTACGTTTTTTTAAAATATTAATTTATGACACAGGAAAATTTTAAATATGTCTATAAAATTCAGATTTTAGTGCTCTCTATAAAAAATATTTCCAGGTAAAACCATATTTAAAACATGAAAAAATGCTGAAACTTTGAGGATAAATTATAAAAGAGAGAAAATTTTTTTTAAAAAAGAATGTTCCATATATGTATAATCCATTATGCTTATACACACGAACTTCTATTAAAATATAGATTTTTTATTTTATACACTTTTCTGTAAGATTAGAAGAATATTCGAATGCTTTTGTATATAAAATAGGAAATATAAAAATTTAGAATATATATATAATATTAAAAAAGAAACTAAGAAAATTAATATAATGTAATTTGTCGTTTTTTGAAAGGTGGTATCTATCTTAAAAATTAAATTAAAATAAAATATAGTTAGAAAGTATATTTTCTCTTTCCTCTTTTTATAAAGAAATATTTGTCATTTAAATATATTTGCAATTATTAGACTATAAAATATTTAGTAATTTATGCAAATGAAAATTTTTATAAAAATAAAAATACAAGTAAACAAAATTTGAAATGAAGATTCATTTCATCTTTTAAATATCATAATATGATACATTTTCAATATTTTATTATTTTATTATAAATATATTATATATATCCTATATATTTTTAAATATATTTAAATTTTACATAAAATTTTACAGTCCAATAATTACAATATTTGGAAATTGCTAAATAGATTGCAGTAAATTTGAAAAAATTTAAAAAATTAATATATTTATCTATATGTTAGCTATATATATACCTATATATTAACTTATCTATATATTTAACTTAATTCAAATCCAACGTTAGATGGCCAGTTATTTCAATATCTTTATTCTTTTCTAAAAATCATGAAGAAACAAAATTATTCAATCATTAATTTTTTTCATTAATATTTATTAATTTTTTACATATTTTATACATCAATAAAAATAATTTATAAATCTTTTATTTATTTTATTTATTTACTATTTTTTTTTATTTACTATTTTTATTTTAATATATTACGTATTTCCTTTATTTATAGGTATTTTATTTAAATTCATGAGAAAGTAACACATCGACAGGTTGAGATATTTATCGACGTTTTATTTAGGTTGCAAACGATCCTATACGAGAGCCATTTATCATACTTCCATCGACGAGAAGAAGTAGCCAGGATTATATTTCCGTAGGAAATTTTAATATTCTTCGTGGTTTGCCAATTCGACCGTTATTGTTATCGTTTTGTCCATAATATGATATTCGGAATGAATATTCAGATCGTTTAGCGGAAATATTATTTCAGTGGATATTGTATTTTGATGCATTGATTTCATATTAAGAATACTTATTTACCTTAAGAATTTGAAACAAAATATTATTGAAATATATTGAATTATTGAAATAATTTAATTCAACGTGAATGATGTGTACGTGCATATTGAATAAAAAATAAAATGTTAAATTACGATAAAATAATATTTTTCAATCTTTTTTAAGTTATGATATTCTTCTGTAATATGCCAATGCTTATATCTAAATGCTCCATATAAGATGAATTCTCCACAATTTAAAAAAATTACAATTTTTTTGTGTGAAGTAATTAAAAAAAATCATTAAAAATAAAAGCAAGTTGAGAATCACTGTCGAATGAATTTAAGAATGAAATACGAAGATTTTGACTCCATTCTGTCAAACTTGGTGGAAAATTTGTTAAAATTAATAATTTGAATGACGTAGATAATCATGAATTTGAGTGATCTAAATGACTCAAATTTTATTTGAATGATTTTGATCGAAGAAAAGAGAACAGGATAATGCGAACGTGATGAAAGAAATTGAAAGTAAGGATAGAAAATAACAACTTGTAGGATTTTAGTCAAGATGCAAAGCAATATAAAATATTCTCGCATTCCCTTACCTTCTTACCCAACACAGGAACAATCTCGAGATAAAATATTCCGCGGAATATACTCACCGAGGATAAGCCGAAGACGAAGCAGAATCGTTCTCGTTCTGCAGTTCACACAACTCTCCGTTAAACCACCAAGTGAGTTTGGCAGCCGGCACAGCATAGACGTCACACTTGAGAGTGACATTGTCCCCCTCATAGGCCTCGATCTGATCCTGGAGCTCGATCTGCGGCAGGCAAGCGAGCTCGTTCAACTTCACCTCCTTGATCTGTTTACCCCGAAGTTTCGGTGGAGAGTCGCAGACTGGCTCGGACTCTTGAGGGGCAGCCGGTGCCGACTCCTTGAGCCAAGCCTGGGTGGCCTGCAGACGACAATCGCACAGCCAGGGATTGTTGTGCAGCGTGAGCCCCCTAAGGTTACCTCCTAGAGGCAACGTGAGATCGGGTACCCGGGTCAACCGATTGCCATCTAGTCGCAGCCACTCGAGTTGGTGTAGGCCGTCGAACGCTCCTTGCTCCACGTTCTCTATTCGACACTGGCTCAATTCCAGGTTGGTCAGATGGACCAGATGCTGGAACGCTCCTCGACGGATCTCCCTTACAGGGTTCCCGTTCAGCAACAGTTTCATCAGATTCGAGTAGGATGGAAAGGTCTCGGTCGGTATCTCCTCGATCAGGTTCTCGGAGAGGTCCAACTCAACCAGACCCACCAGGCCGACGAAAGCTCTCGACGCAATACGACTGATGTGCGATCTACCCAGGTAGAGCCTCTGCAGATTGATCAGACCCAGAACGTGAAAGCACTCTGGAAGCAGACTGACCAGATGATTGTTCGACAGATCCAACACCTGGGTCTCCTCCCTGGCGCCCTGAGGCAGCCCCTTCAGGTCCCTGTTGGCGCACTCCACCCACTCTTTACCGCTTTTCCATTTGCACGTGCACATGCTCGGGCAGCCCTCCACCAATGAGGACGTCCATGATAACAGCATCATAGTGCCGAGAAGTGTCCCTCTCCACCACCATGCTCGCATGCTCGAGCACATGGTGCGTTCCGTTTCCCCGAGATCCTCCTTTCTATCTCATCTTATGTACTCGATCTCGTTTCACGCTTTTATCTCGTGCGCGAGCTTTCACCTTAGCTTTCTCTCGCCTGCAGCATCTTTGAGATCTTCTTGAGCTCGAGGATGGGATGGGTGGTCTCTCGATGAGTATGTCAGGTCTTTTTCCGATTCCCACTCTGAAACAACAATGTTCAATTGAGTTTAATACGAATTTATTAGTACATTTCTTCTAAACGAATGAACGTTTTTGAGAAAAAGAGAAAAATTCGATCGAATCTTTATGTTTTTCATTTCCTGTAATTTGATTCTTAATTGTTAAAAAAAAAAAATCTGAAAAAATTTTGAGATACTTATTCATAGGTTCTTAATTTACTATATAAGTGACATTTTAGTCAAATATTTAAATGCTTTTACAATAAAAATTTGACGGAATGTTAAGGACAATGAAAATTCGCAGCAAGTCTTTTTATTGAAAATATAATAAAAGCCCAACTTTTAAAGAGAATGTTATATAATATATCAAAATAAAGAAAAATTTAATATATTTCAAGATATACAATAACGTTTTGGCCATTTTTATCTTGCAATTGATCATCAATCATTACTATTTATATAGTGTTTTAAAATTGGCCTTAGTTAAGTTGATCAATTTTAATTCTGATTAATCAAAATTAAATAGAAGTATATTTTGTTGTATATTTTGAAACTCAAGTTTTTCATTTTTCTAATTTTAATATTAAATCAATTTCTTTTAACTGCCAATCTAAATGAAAAACAAAAATTTAATAAAAATGGATTTATACAATTTTTTTCCTTTTCCTTTGCATAACATATATTAACTTAATAATATAGGATTATTAATTGATAAATTCAACTTTAAAACTGCTCTTAAAAAGCATAAATTATAAAGTGTGTTTTATCAAAATTTTCTTCTATTATTTTTATTTATAATTTTAGATTTTTTTACAAAATAGAATATTGATTATTGAATAATTAATCATCCAAACACAAGATGAATATATATATATATATATATATATATATTCTTGGAAAAATTTTGGAATCATCTTGAATCTGTACTTGAAAACATATTTCTATATTTAATTTTTCATGATCTATTTAAATTTCTTTTTATCAATTATTTTAAAAACTACTTATTCAAGCCTTTAAATTTTTTTAAGTTAGATAATAAAATATTCTATCCATTTGAAAGAGCTATAATAGTTAATTATCGTAATTTTTCCTTTCACATGATATAGGTTTTCACTAAATTATCGTGACTTCGTAATACGTTTCATTTTAGAGAACCTATTCTCTGTGAACATGCTCTTCGTAAATAAACGCTCATGCTCCTCTCATGTGCATATTCACGCTTTTTAAAACGATGAGGTTAGCATGTTCATCATTGTGCAAAATTTATGAGCTTGCAATGAACGAGCCAAAAATTAGGTCAGAAAGTTCCATTAAGGCTATTCTCTCGAAATCATCTCATTCTGTTTATCAATTTACGAGCTTCAAGTTCATAATGTTGTCCAACGATATAAAAAGCAGAAAAATTTTTTTAATCTTTTATACTCGACAAAATTATATTTATATATATTAATATATTTTTATAGTAAGAAATTTAAGAAAATTGTTAATCGTATAAATTTTATATCTTAAATTTTATTATATGCATTTAATGGAATTATTAAGATTTATTGGCTGAAATAGAAATAAATAAAATCTTCAATATTCTAAGATTTGTTACACAATTTTATTATTTAAATATTCCATTGTTTAAAAATTCAATGATATGTGAAAGATATATTTTTTTGATTATTCTTTCAAGAAAAATATAAACGTATAATATATAAAATATAAATAAATTTATAATACATAGATATCTGTAAAAATCTTTGCCACAATTTTATTTTATTCCTATTCATATAAAGCTGATATTCTATATGTTAATATTCTGTATATAATAATATATATAATATGAAAAAAGAAATTAAAAAAAAAAGAAAAAAGAAAAAATTGTTAAATAATTCAGAAAAACAGAATTTATTTTATTTATTCGATTAAGATATTAATTATTAATTATTAATTTAGAAGAAAATTTCAAAGAAAAAATATAGATGATAAGATTTCTGAAAACTTTGAGTGAATTTAAATATTTCTAAATATTAAACATTAGATAATACATAATTTTATTATATTTTTGACTAAATAAAAAGAAATTTTATGCAGCACTGAATCTTTGAAAAAAACTTTAAAAGAATTTTAAATTTACAGCGATTCATTCATATAAAGTCAATATATTTTTCCTCTTTTTATTATTTTTGTATCCAGTCACGAAATTTGTATGCAAATATTATTAAATATTATTATACTTAAACATTTAATATCGTAACTAAAATATCATAACTAATATTATTTTTTTAAAAAACGCTTTATTCAATATTCAAAATTATAAAAAAATATATTCAAATATATTCAAAATTACTTCAAAATTATTTAATTTAATTACGTATTATTTGTTTAGCAATGAATAGATATAATTAAATGTATTTTATCGACGTATCCAATGATTAGATATTATTGCTTACACTAAATCTTTCGATCAGTTTTCTTATTCTAATATAAAACGTGAAAATAAAATTTTTAAATACTTTTATAAGAACTCAAAAAATAATATCGTTCCATTGAATATCATAAATAATATAAAATATTATTTATTTATATATAAAAAATAATATTACATATAAATCAATTGTATTTTCGTATACATAATATTAACAATTATAAAAGATATAAGAAAACGATCATAAATTTTTTTTTTCTTTTTTTATAAAGTTCAAATTACATTTTCTAAGAAATTTGAATAATAATATATTTGACGTTGAGGATAATTATACGAGTCACAAATAGTGAAAGGATTAATTAGAATTTTATTCAATTATTCTCGAATGATTAACAAAGAAAGCACAAAGAAACATCGATTTCATTTGTATATAACTTGGAAATTCAGAATATAACTTCACATTTGATGTTTCCACAGATCGGTGTTGATACTGTTTCATAGTTGACGCACCGCCTGTTCATAATCGTTCGATCTCGCGTTACATTTTGAACAAGGAATAGGGACGCATACTAATAGTCGTATAACACCATCATCGACATTTAACCGCTTAGATACACGATACACTTGGAAATTATATTATGGCGGACGTGTCGTTAATTTTGATACAAGAGGTTCTCTACAATTTCTTCGAAGGTGAACCCTTCGATTTTGAGAACCGCAAACGATGGATCGTAAATTGACACGGAATGCTGTAATCGATTCATCTCGAGCAACGAATTTTCGATCGAGCGATTGTCGCGTTACGCCTGCGACGTGCTTTGCAAGGGAACCCATCTCAATCTCGTTCTAAATGTTTTATTATCCATCTAAGACTAGCCGATGATCGATCAAAGGATTTGTTGTGATGGAATTCTTGTCGAAATATCGAACGAATTTTGTGTTATGAGCGATGGATGGATTAAGGGGTTTAACTTGAAGGCGAAGTTAGTCTTGTAATTGCTGGATTTGATGAATTAGAGAAAGGATTTTCTTTGATGTGTGTATTAGTAGCTTGAGAAAAATTAAAATTATACGATTATTTTTGTTGAAAAAATTTTCTTTTAATGCCTTAGATTTAAGTAATATATAAATGTATGAATAATAGATAAAATTATCTATAAAATTAATTTTTTAGATGATGTAGAAATTTTTCTTTAATATTTAAATAATATATAAAAAGTATGATATTTTGTAAAATTAATTTTTAATGTGATTACAAACATATTTTTTAAAAGTTTTAATATTTTATTTTGTTAAATAAAATATTTTAATTTTTTAATTTGTATTTTTATTATATTATAAATTCTTCTATTTTTTTATAACTTAGATTTCTGTTATAAATTTATTGATATTTTAAAATGAATATATAAAATGATTTTTATAAAATAAACATAAATTATTTGTAATTATTGCATAATTCGATTATTTATATAGAAAGAAATTCTTTTTTTCAAAATAAATATTGAATTATTTTTAAATTAGTGAAAAATAATTTATAAAATCAATGAAAATAATAATTTTTAAATTCGTGATGTTTTACAAAATTTGTTCATTAAACTCAAATAACAATTTAAATATTATTATAAAATAGAAGATATAGAAACTATTTTAAGAGTTTTTGTTTGCTATTAGAAGTTATGAATAACGAAAAAAATTTTACTCTTACATTTTTATTTCACTCTAGTGCATCTTAAAAGCATTTTCTTATGCAAAATAAATAAATAAAGAAATATATTTTCTATAGAATAAGAATTTTAAATTTATTTAAATAATTTATAGTGGAAGAAAATAAAAATATTTATGTTAACATGCAATAATTCAATAACAATTTCAATATATCTTTTTAACATAGAAGATATTAGAGAAACATGCTAAATGAAATTATTTTGATTATCTAAAATTCTTCAGAGATTCTTTCCTATTTCTTATTTTTTATTCATAATCTACATTATTTAATAGACCATTATCAAATTCTACAAATGAAAAATGTCAAAAGAGAATCGTATATTTTTCTTCGATCGATAACTATGACTATCCGCAATGCTTAAATCTTTTTCATAAGATTTCTTCACGTTATGCACTACAGAGCTCGATTCACTCTCGTGTTAAATCGTGTAAATTACCAAAATAGCCAAACGATAAAGACAATACTACAATTTTCAAGACTCGTTTCCTGGAATAGTATCGTTGCATGTTACATGGAATTCAATTTCTATTATGCGGCAAGCTCGCAACCTGGAAATCTCAGGCAGAAGGCGGATTATCCGATCGAATTTGCAAAACATTAACTCTCTCTCTTTCTCTCTTTCGGTCGTAAAAATGCGATCAGGGATCTGCGAGGAGGACTGGATTCCCGCTTCCTTTATCGAGCGTATTT